TCCCTGTGAACCACATTGACAGTATGTTCTTATTACAGCTTTTTGTTAGGAATGTCGTCGTAAAATAGTTTTTATCTCACCCCTCCTAATCATTTTTTCCAACTTTCCTGTTCATATGGGTTTTTATTTTTCCTTTTGTATTAATTAACCAAACAAATTTTGTGTCATCGTCTTTGGGGCTTACCTGTAATTTTTTTTTAACTAGAGATATAGAAATTGACCTTTTCTTTTTTAATTGGAAAAGTAGGTTGTATCTGAAAAGGGCTCACCATTGCTCTGCGTCCTTTCAAGTGACCCCCAATCTCTCCTGGCAGTGCCCCTGCAGGTCGGGTCACTGGCCCTGTAACCACCACCACCACCCCCGCCACTGCCCTGCTGCCACCACAGCCCTGTGCCCCCCGGACTCCCAGAGCTCAAGAGCCTGCAAGAAAGGCCCACTCTTAGCTTTGAGAGTGGCGATCTGGCCTCCCTGTCCGATGGTCACCCGCCGGCGCGGAGGGGCCGTGGGTTTATTCTTATCGTTTGAACAGTTTGGCTCAGGTTGTAAGTACGAACTTGGGAAGCGGAAAGTGACTTGACGCGCCCATCCTTCGTAGCTTTCCGAACTTCTGAATGGAACGTAAAGCATCCGCGTCCCTGCCCCCGCTCCCTGTCCACGCTGCCCCAGGTCTCCTGGTCCCCCGGTCCGCCAGCCTTCCACTCCCCTCACTTCTCATTGAAAGCTTTCTGCCGTGGACCTTCCAGGGCACCATCACGTCTGCCCCCAAAGCATCTCTCACCCTCTTCCTGCATTTTTTAACCAAATGAAGTAGAAAGTCCTACTTGGGGGGCAGCAGAACTTCTAGTTTAGTAGAATCACTGTATAGATATAGATGTTGATATATATGTTTGTGTATATATATATCAAGCCAAATTGCTGATAGAAGAAGTATATAGCTTTATGGATGAGGAGGAAGAGGAGGTCTTCAGAGGTTGGAGTCAGCAACGTGTGGCAGGCGAGCTCAGGCCCAGACTGGGCTGCCCCTATAGACGTGGGCCCTCGGCCCCCTCACACCGCAGAGCTGGGCGGCCTCCAAGGGTGCTGCTGCTCTCTCTGGTCCCCGGCATGGAAGGTACGGCTGGGGGAGGGGACAACACATCAGAATGGCTGGAATTTTCC